AAAAAATTATGAGATGTTTTATTCATATTATATAAGTGTAAAAAATTCTTTCTTACCACTGACTGATTACCTTTTTTTCATTTACTCCTAGACAGCCAAGAAGCCCCCTAATAGAAGTGGACATCTATACCTGTTACTCACAGCTGACATTAATTGCTCTGTAAATCTTCTTTTGTGAGCCCATCATGCCGGTGGTGTTGCGTTCCTCGCCTCTCCTGTGGGCCCGTGTGGCTGCCATGGTTTTCGCCTGTGTAGCGTTCAGCGTAGCTCTTTATGGAGCGAGTCTAACCCACGGCACGGGTGACTGGTGCGTGTTCTGCTGGAGTTTTAGTTTTGTTGGAACTCTTCTGATAATCTTAGTGGAAATGTTTGGCCTGCAGACTCGCGCCCCGGTCTCATGGAAGAACTTTCCGATCACGTTCGCCTGCTACGCCTCCCTCCTCTGCCTATCCGCCTCGATCATATTCCCCCTGTACTTCCTAAAGGGCTACGCTGGTCGCAGCGAGATGATCAACTGCCGCATTGTGTCTACCGTATTTTCTTGCCTCGCCACCATCGCGTACTTAAGCGAGGTGAGTCTGAGTAAGGCTCGTCCAGGAGAAGTAGCCGGCTACATGGCCCTGGCACCAGGGCTGCTAAAGGTGTGCGAGACCTTCGTCGCCTGCATCATATTCGTCTTCATTAGCGAGCCCATATCGTATAACCAGAATGCAGCGACCAAGTGGTGCCTGGCCGTGTACTGCATCTGCTTCATCTTGTCGGCAACCGTTATCGTGATGTGCGTAGGAGAGTGCACAGGTTGCCTGCCCTTCTCCTTCGACCGCTTCCTGTCCACATACGCCCTCCTAGCTGTGGGCTTGTATTTGTCTGCCACCATCATCTGGCCCATTTATAAGTTCGACAATAAGCACGGAGGCCAGAGCCACAGACCCAACAGCTGTGGCTCCAGCATTGGCCTGTGCCCGTGGGACAAGCTGCTGGCCATCTCGGTCCTCAGCGCTCTCAACTTCATTCTTTATCTGGCTGATCTCATCTACTCAGCCAGGCTGGTGTTTGTTACTGTTTAAGGGGTTTAGCGGGAATTAAAAAGACAGAGTAACACAAGAGGAAGGCAAAACAATAGAAGGCAGAAAGAGGGAAGTGGGTTAGAGAGTAGCGATGTTGAAATGATAGGTCATAAACTATATTCACTGTTAGCTATATTTTTGTCATGCCTGTTTAGCAATCATGTGTACAAAAAGTTAGACTTTGAAAAGGTTACACAACAGTGTAAAATGTAACAAATGGACAAAATTATTTATATATGTTAAAAAAAGAATGCAATAAAAAAGAATATTTATATATACACTACCGGTCAAAAGTTTGGAGTCGGTAAGATTTTTTAGGTTTTTGAAAGAAGTCTTAGGGTGAAAACAGTAATATTGTGAAATATCATCAAAATGTTAAATAGCTGTTTGCTATTTTAATATATTTTTAAAATGTCATTTATTTCCATGATGGCAAAGCTGAAATTTCAGCAACTATTACTCCAGTCACATGATCCTTTCGAAACCATTCTAATATGCCGATTTGGTGCTCAAGAAACATTGCTTATTAAAAATATTTGTTGCCTAATATTTTTGTGGAAACCATGATACTGTTTCAGGATTTATTTGAAGTGGAAATCTTTTGTGACAATGTAAAAGTGTTTACTGTCACTTTTTATCAATGTATCGCATCATTGCAGAATAAAAGTTAATATTTAACTATTAAAAGAAGTATTAAAAAGGTCAAACTGGCCCCAAACGTTTGAACGGTATATATAAAAGTATATATAATTGCCTTAATTTGCTCAACATAAGTTTGACAAAATGGCTTCTTTTTTCTGTTTTTACATGTTTCACATATTATTTTACTTTTTTGTAGTATTTTTGCTCATTATGCGTTATGTTGATTTGTATGAAGGATTTTTGTACTAGTTACTGTAACTTTGTAAGTATGAGTGAATGTCAAACTTTCAATCAACACAATAACACCCTTCAGTTCATTCAGGAAATCAGCATCATAAAAACTGTTGCACTTAATATGTGTGAAGTAATACTTGATATGTATCAGTACATAACACTGCTGTTTGGTGCATATATGTAAAACCATTTATATGGTGGACTGAATAGTACAAAATTTATTCTTAAAATCTAACTTCTGTCACATAAGACACGTTGACGATGAAGGGAAATATAAATGTATATTTGGACATATCATGAAACATTGAAGATATTGAATATTGAATATACACATTGTACTGGATTTATATTTACAGGATATTATTGCTGTATGTGTAAACATGGATTTGCCAAGTATATGCAAATGCTATAGATGTTTTTCTTGTCAAATCTCTTTAAAAACCATTGCTGTTCTCTTGTACACCAGCAGTGCAGTTACACAAACACCTCACGATAAGAAAGAAAATGAAATGTTGTTTGCTGTGCTGTAAGTCTCTGGGATCTGCATGTGCCTGTCACAGACTGTTACACAGTCCTCGATGCTTGAATGAGAATGTTTTCATTGTGTTATCAAAGAGCGAGAGAGCATTTGTGTAAGTCCCTCTGTACTAAGAGTAGAACAGCACACACCGCAGCGTTGTGTGAAGGTGTAATCTAGCTCTGAATAAAGCCATGAAAAAGAAACATGCGTGATATCTGCGCATCTGCACTCTTGCCCCATTTACTATTGTATATGGTGATTCAGACTTACCTACCATTTACTCATTCTTTGTTTAAAGTTACGCCTGTGTGAAAAGATACAGAACATCTGCCTTGAACTAATGAATCACATTCTAGAACATTCACATACAGTATATGCACTCACCCAGGGGAACATTTAATTGCTCAGAAGTCTTTCAGAGCTCAGGGGACTTGGATGGATTGTTGAATTATGCTGAATTTCTAAATCATCTTTGCCAGATGTGTTTTTCCTAAAATTAAATAGGAGAAATAATAATCTTATCAACTGCTTATGTACAAAAAGTGTATAGAATACTACAGGGAAGTATCTACATTTGCTGTCTATTTTTTCGGAAATCAGTCTCATAAGAGTCTCAGTACAAACATATGGAAGAATTTTGAAAATACAAACAGACACAAACATGGCCACAGGCCTTGCACATCTCCAAGCAACACACGACAAATTATGTTTCTGTCAGGACCACTATCGTCAAAATGATAGATACTTAGCATAAAGTTTGGTTTGGCGGTATGGTTCTGTTCTGGGCAAAAAACTCATGCAGCCTGTCATGAATGAGCAGGGAGAGCAGCAATAATAACCCCCCTAGGGTTAAAAGAACAGAACAAGGCAGATATCTTTAATGTACTTAATGATATTTAAGTGTAACACTTTATTCAAGATAAAGGAGTCTGATTAGCAAGGAATATCAGAAAGCCTTATGGGAATGAAAGTATAAAAAGAGAAAGACTTTGAAAGGTGGGTGTGGGGTTCGTTTAACTGAATGACTCACACATAAAGACAGTCACTTATTTTGTTCGTGAATGAAGTAGCTATTTTAAACGAACGGATTCAATGAATGATTCAAAGACCCGCTCATAAAGACAGTGGCTGCCAAAACAGCACAACAGTATGTGAAAAAAGAAATATGTCCGAATTCACAGTACTCGTAAAAGAGTAGGCAAAACTTTACTATACCATGAGGTCATGGGAGAGGATTTATGAATGGCAGTAACATGATGCAACTGACGCTGGGAGGTCAAGTGACAATGACAACATGGTGAATGCAGTACGTCCTGATTACATTTACCACGTTACCATTGCCTCTTATCCGGCAATGACTTTGCAGACAACGTTTGCACACGAAGGCACCTCACGAAACTGAATTCGGACATGCTTCTGAAGCAGCGTAACAGTTTAATGACTTACAACAAAATAGAATGAGCTTTGATGATAACTAAGCGAACATTTAATTACTATAATACTGATGTATCGCTAGAAATAACACCAAAAGTGCAAAAAGTTGGTCAAAAACAAACATTTACACACAAACGCAACACTCAGATGCCATCTTTATTTTTTGCTCAACCATCACGGAATGGGTGTAGGATACATCTATGCTGCCTTCAAAAATCAACCAGATGAAGGCCTCTCAAGAGACAGGAAGTGAAGCTAACGCTGGATTCAGACATGCCTTGGTGCCTTCCTACCTTGAAATGTGTCCTCTGAAGGCAGCATTTTCCAATTTTCGGATGCAGCCACTATATAGAACATTCTCTATACTCGCAAAGTAATTACTTACTCAAAAAAGTTCCTACTCAAAAGAGTATGCGATTTCGAACGCAGCCGGTCACTTTTTCATTTGTGAATAAATTAGGTATTTTGAACGAATCACTTCAATGAATGATTCAATGGCTCACTTAAAATGTCACTTGGCACCACCTACTGAGAGTCACTGAAATAAAAACATCTAGAGCAGGTGTTATTAAACTTTTAACCAATGAATTTTACAATCATTCATTATTTATAAAGATTAGGAATTTTTGAAAGTATATTTTACTTTTGTACCCACTAAAATATTTTATAGCTTTAAATATCTATAAAAAAATGTGAGTTATTTATTTAAAAAATGCCCATAGCATTTTAAGATTTTATTCTTTTACATGACTTTTCCAGGTCTAGACATGCGGTTTTTCCAAGACCATGAGAATCTTGGCTCTACAAAGAAAAAAAGGTTGTTGAATTAAAGTTTTAAAATTCCTCTTGAGGTGTTCATCCAGTGTGGCAATTTGAGGAACCCTAAATGGTGTTTCAATTATCTTCATTTTATATAGATATTGTTTAGCTTACAGTGCAGCATTTTTATTCAGTGCAACAGACAGGCACATTTACCTATCGGTCATCTAAATAGGAAGAACTGAAGGGTGTGGCCCAGAGACATCCATGCAAAACTGGGAACTGCTTCTCAGTGACAGAACCATTATCATTTCACACATTTTCCTACAACAGAATACAACTAAATGGAAGGGCTCCTGGATTCAGAAGAGTTTTGCTGTTCTATTTGCCTGGATTTGCTGAAAGATCCAGTGGCGATTCCATGTGGGCACAGCTACTGCATGGAATGCATTAATGATTATTGGAAGAAAAATGATCATTTGGGGGTCTTCAGCTGTCCTCAGTGCGGACAGACGTTTAGTCCTAGGCCTGTTTTGAACAGAAATACCATTCTGGCAGATATGGTGGACAAGCTGAAGAAACTGGAACTTCTGGGCAACTCTCACATTTACGACAACTGCATGCCAGGTGATATGACCTGTGATTTCTGTACAAGTATCAAGCAAAAAGCTGTGAAGAGTTGTTTGGTTTGTTTGGCATCTTACTGTCAAAACCACCTTCAAGCACACTACAAGTCTCCTGCCTTGAAGAAACACAAGCTGATTGAAGCCTCCGTGAACCTGCAGGAGAAGATCTGTCCTCATCATGACAAATATTTGGAGATGTATTGTCGAACTGATCAACAATGCATATGTCTTTTGTGTGTGATGGATGACCATAAAGGTCACGATACAGTACCCGCAGCTGTGGAAAGCACAAAGAAACAGGTAAAAAAAAAAAAAAAATCTTTCCTTGTTTTGCTTTGCATCGTTTGAGTGGTTTTATTCAATAAGAACTTTTTCATGGTTCTTAACTTCTATGGAAGATGCAGTAAATTACAGTATTCTCAGAATCCTTCAGTAGCCAAAGTCATTTTCCACTGAGGCAAAACACATTTTCCAAAGTGTACTCCACCTCAATATGAACAGCTTTCATTATACAGAAAAGTTCGTGCAACAGAGTAATTGGGAAAAGAAATGTGAGAGAAAGGAGGCATTGAATTGATGTGATGAGGAATACGCTTGTGTTTCCAACCAAAAACGGTAAAGTACCTGTAAATAAGTGTAACATTATAACATTCGAATAATATTACAAAAACAGTTTCCTGCTTCACATACAAATTTCAACCTGCGTACACAAAAGGATGTTCAGGAGAGCTTCCTTTAAGAGATAGAAATCTTTCCCCATCAACCAATCAGAGAGAGGCTTTGTCTGTTCGCTTTGACTGTGTGGTCAGCTACTTTGAATAGTCTGGTAGATATCCTCATATATGAAGTGTATAAACTAATTTGTTAGTGACAAAGGTTATTCTTATGTAACTCATAAAAATAAACAGTGGAATAGAATATAGGGCTATCCTGAGCAACGTAATGCAGTGTGTCTATTTTGTGACATTAATCACATTATATGAATTCTACACAGAATGATTGTAGTTAAAAAGCATTTCGGTTTTTATTGTGTTTCTTCACAGAAAGAACTAGGCATGACACGCCAGAAATACAAGCTCAAAATCCATGCTAAAGAGAAGGACCTACTGGAGCTTAAACAGGCTGTAGATGCCCTGAAAGTAAGACATTTCTAGTACGATTTGAACTTAATGAAATTAATGAAACAATAAAAACAACAAAAAACAATTAACCTGAAAATTAAGCATCGATCAATTCTTTATTTTGTATTAAAATATTATTAATAATAATAAATTATTAATACATGATTAATATTATTAGTAGTGTTTTGTTCCCTGAATGAATCTGTGTTTGAATGAGTCGGTCGAGTGAATGATTAAATGATTCACTTATAACAACAGTAATGTTTTGTTCCCTGAATGAATCTGTTTGAATGAGTCGGTTGAGTGAATGATTAAATGATTCACTCATGATGACAGTCACTTATTTAATTTCTAAATGAATCTGTGAATGTGAATGTTTTGAACAAATCGATAAAGACGTTCACTTGTCAACACATACTGGTGTAACAATGTAACCTTCAGAAAAAGTCACAAACTAACTGTTATACAATATTACTGTTCAAAAGTTTTTAAAAGGAGTCTCTTATGCTCACCATGCAGGGCTGCATTTGTTTGATAAAAAAAATACAGTAAAACAGAAATATTGTGGAAATATTTTTACAATTAAAAGGAACTGTTGTATTTTAATACCTTTTAAAATTTATAGTTTTTTATGGGATGACAAAACTAAATTTTCAGCAGCCATTATTTGAGTCTTCAGTGTCACATGATCCTTCAGAAATTATTCTAATATTCTGATTTGATGCTCAAGAAACATTTTTTTAATTTTACCAGTGATGAAAACAGTTATGTTGCTTAATTTTTTTTATGTAACAATGTAGAGTCTTACAGTCAGTAGACTGTCAATTTTGATCAAAATGCATCCATCCCTGCTGAATGAAAATATTAACTTCTATCCAAAAATAAATCTTACTGAACCCAAAGTTTTTAATGTTAATGTAGATGTTAGTGTTCTTCAAGTTCTCAGCTGATATGTATTTATTTAATCATGGCTCAAGATGAATATGATATGAATATGATAGACCATGAATAAACATCCTTCCTTCATCTCTTATCCTCTATCCATTACTCAGATTCCTGCCCGCTGCAACTAAATCCTTTAACAGCCCACAAGGACCTTAGTTTGTCCAAGGGAAACAGAGAAGTGGCCGTTCGGAGCCGAGTGCAGTCCTGTCCCGACCACCCGGAGCGCTTTGATTACTGGTGCCAGGTGCTGGGCACGGAGGGCCTGACAGGCTGCAGCTACTGGGAGGTGGAATGGAGTGGGATGGGAGTAAACATTGCAGTCGCATACAAAAACATTGCCAGGAAAGGGGAAAGCAGTGAAGCTCACTTCGGTCACAATGACAAATCCTGGAGTTTGTTCTGCTGCAGGAAAGGTTATGCTTTCTGGCACAATGGGATTGTCAGTAAGATCTCAGAGCCTGGCTCGTCAAAGATAGGCATTTATCTGGATCATAGGGCCGGGACACTAGCGTTTTACAGCATTGATGACTCAATGACCCTCCTCCACAGAGTTCACACCACATTCACACAGCCTCTCTACCCTGGCTTTGAGTTTTCATGCTATGACGCCTCAGTCAAGTTGTGTCAGTTGGAGTAAGGGAAAAAGGGTAGGCCCATTTGGCATTGGTAATTAAAGAATGGGAAAAAGATTAAAGATATAAGATATAAAATATACAATACATTAGTAAAGAAATAAGAATAAAGAAATACAGTAATATTTGTAAAATTATAGTGGGTTTGCTTCTCCCACTGTTATTCTAGTATCACTGAGATACAAGATTTTGTTAATATTTTGAATTAGATTTTATTTTATATTCTCTGCTTTCATGTTAATTTTAGTTAAAGTTTTAGTAACTTTGTTGTGTGTTTTCGTCATTTTTATTAGTTTTTGTTGTTTTTATGTCTACATCATTTTTCAGAATTTTTATTTCAGTTTAAGTTTTAGTAAATAATAAAAAAATAAAATCTCTAATAATATATAGTGTTTTTTTTCAGTTAGCCAAACAATCCTGACACATTTATATCTTTGATAATCTCTTTCCATTTAAACTACACACACAGTCAATTGCTGTTATTTCTGTCTGTGGAATGTCCCTCGAGGTTAATATTGTGTGAATGCCCTTTATACTTTTTATTCTCTGTCAGCTCTGAAAAAAACAAAAAAAAACTGTAACAATCACAATAAAATACATTGTTTACCATTATATTTGCCTTTAAGAGACAACCTCATTCTTCACGTCCTAAAAAGTCTTTCCTTTGGTATTTGATGACATCTAGTTTTATTTATTTGTGTATTTATTTATTTATTGTTTTTGCAGGTTTCGTCCTCCATATTGTAACAGTATAAGTACGCAAATAAATGGTGAAGACAAAATAAAAGAAAGAGTGACCTCTGGTGGCTAAAAGTGTTAAAACCAAGCCTTCAGAGGAAAAGCAACAATAAAACTATTAAATACGTAGCCTACTGTTCTCTAGTAGTTTTGTTGTTGCTTTTCCTCTGAAGGTGCAGCGGAGTACCAGATGATCAGAAATAAAAACGTGAACTATGAGCTAAACTGTTTACAAATTACTGTAATCATTTAATTAATCATTTTTGCGTTGAGTGCCAAAATAAGTGGACTACAGAGAAAGGCACTGTTAGGAGTCTGGATGAAGGACTTTGTGATTGAACAGTTAAAAAAAAAAAGTGCTATGAACATGTAAATGTAATGTAATAGTTTATCTAAGCTCATAAGAGAGGGCACTGATAGACTGAATTAATTATGTCTGGGATAACCATGAGAGACTAACTTTGAGGAACAGATCCGGGTCCATACATAGGTTATAACCTCCCCAATGTGGGTTCAAACCATGTTACACTACCAGCACCAGTTCAGGCTTAAAATATGCTGCTATTTGGCAGTGCACCAAGATGCAGTCCTGCTTATTTTGGAAACAACACAACATTCCCACAAGACATATTTTCACATAGTTACTGAGGTGATTCAGATTAATTATACTGATTTACAACTGAGATGAAACTATTTGCTTGTCAGCTACAACTTGGGGTTATTAAATCCAGATTTTTTAAAGGTCAGGTTCCATTGAATGCCGCCTTATATTTTTGCTAAATCTTTTGTTGATCTAAATCAAGCTCACTGCGATTCTCTAACCATTAGGCCACGACTTCCCCTTGTACATGGCAATATAATGTATGTATAGCTTGTAAATAATGTTTCATGAGTAGACTCGAGTATCTCGTACTTACCTTCATTCAGTCACTGTATCGAGGTGCCGCAACCGTAGCCTGCTTTTTTATGGTTGAAATGAAATAAGCAACAAGTATTGTTGTTGGTCCTTTATGTATTAAAAACACGAATGTAATAAAAATGTTAAGTGAAAACACACACTTTCCAGTAGGGGGCAGAGATCCTCATGTCGTCCAAATAGGCAAGTATACCACTTCATTTACACTTGTCAACCAATCACTTAATAGCTAAACTAGTCACTCACGACACGCTCACATTGTTTTCTGACAGTTCACTGTGATAACCTGCATTTAATTATTATAAAACTTTCTTAAATTCTGCCTTTACAAATGTTTAAATGTCTGAAAGGGCTGTAATATTTCCTGCGTGGGAGCAGGGGTGAAGTCACATTTAAACTACTTAGACACTGTGTACAAAGGACATGTTTAAGTGATCCAACAAACAGATATCAAGTTAAAAATGAAGTCAGTTTCTCAGATAAAAGAGGGAATGAGGAAGAGCATGCGGTTTTAGATTATATTACCTGTTCATTAAATGACCAATTACCCCCATAAATGCACATATTATTGGATCAAAACAGAAATAATATAATGATAATTTATTTTGCATACAGATTAAAAACGTTAGTTCCATTCAAATATGCAGTCAGGAAGCAGTAACAGTTACATACTTACATACAACTGTATGCCTGCCTTCTGTTTTACCACAAATTTACCACTTAAGTAGCACAGTCTTTATTATTATTGCCATATTTTAGCAATATACCATAATTCAAATAAAAATTATACATAAAAAGTTGATATGATATTAACTATACACTGATTCTCACTGGATTATTACTGAGAGGATGTTGTCATCCAGGTCGACTATCCATGTGTGACCCCATCTGAAAGGATCTTATATCCTCTCCAATGAATTCAGTCACTGTGGGAATGAGAAATTGTGGTAGAAATAATTTAATTGATTGATACAGATCAGTAGTTAAAGGAATAGTTCACACACAAAAAAACGAAATTCTTTAGCAAATCTCACAATGAAAATCCATTTTCATATCACACATTGTAATGTTGAGATGCCTAAATTCACTTGTAGCATTTAAAATAATTTGACTTGTTATTTTTGGTATTTAGATTTTTTAGACAAAATAATTATATATAATATTAAATAATAATTTGATATTATTATACTACCAGTCAAAAGTTTTGGAGTCAGTAAGATTTTTAATGTTTTTTAAAAAGTCTCTCATGCTCACCAAGGTTGCATTTATTTGATCAAAAATACAGTAAAAACTGTAATATAGAAAAATATTATTATAATTTAAAATAACTCTTATTCTCTGATGAATAGATTTGAAAAACATTTTTGTAACATTATAAATCATTTTTATAATGGAAAAAAAAAAACATTTCTTAAAATAAATTTAGAACAAATTTAGAACAGATTTTAGTTTGTGTTTTATTTTTTTAGACAAACTAGTACAGAATTTTAATACGAGCAATTTATTGGTTATCGGCCATAACATGAAAATAATTATTGGCTTATCATTCAGAATTTTAATGTTGGTGCATGACATATACAGTCAATCATACCCACCTTCCTCTAGTGTGATATGCTGCATGGGTGTGGGGCCCGAGAAGTCCGGGGGTCCCTCCAGCTTCAGACCAGGGTCTGTGTCTCTTTCAGAGGGACGCATCTGGTGCTCCCAGCTCTCATATTGGAAGTACGGAGGTGGGCACAGGTCCTGATAGTGGCTAGTGTTTGACGGAGGCGAGGAGCACATCTCTTGGGGGCAAGGACAGTGTGGATATGGGGAGTGAGTGAGTGGAGGAAGGGGCGAGGTGGAGATGGGACTGCTTGCAGGGAATGGGCTGAGAGAGCAAGAGTGTGAGGGAGAAGGTGAGGAGGAAAGATAGGGAGAGTCAAGCCACGGAGAGGGAGACGGGGAGGGGGAAAGAGGTTGTGAGGCTCTTGGGTACATGGGAGGAAGAAGCTCTGTGAAGCCCAGCTCCAGGCTCTCAAAGCTGGGATGCCTTTCGGTCAGGGCACTTCGACCTCCACCATCCTCGGGGACCTCCGGTTTGTGGCAGTAGTCCTCCTGGTAGCCATGCGAGGAGTAAGGGTACTCATTGGGATATGGAGGCAGGTGGAAAGACATGCTTCTGTCATCTGCGGATAGGTCTGATCTCATGTCGACAGTGCTGCCGCTCCTCATGGGGGAAAGCGTCACCCCTTCCAGGGGCAAGATGGAGGGACGGGACAGCAGCGGATCTTCTTCTTTAAACATGACTAGAAAATGTAAGATGTATGACTTAACATCACAGATGTACCATGACATGAAAACAATCATATTGTATACATTTAATATGAAATGTGACAAGATATATTACCTAATATAAAATTTAAAATTATTTTAATTAATAGTTTTATATTTAATTATGTAATATTAAATAATTATTTTATAATTATTACACTACCATTCAAAAGTCTGTTATCGGTAAGATTTTTAAATATATTTAAAATAATCTCTTATGCTCATCAGGGATGCATTTATTTTATTAAAAGAAATACAGTAAAAACTAATATAATATTGTAAAATATTATTACAATTTAAAAGAACTGTTTAAATTTTAATAACGTCTTCAGTGTGATCCTTCAGAAATTGTTCTATTATGATGCTTCTGTGCTCAAGAAACATTTATTATCAACGTTGAAAACAGTTGTGCTGTTTAATATTTTTGTAGAAACTGATGCATTTTTTCTGGATTCTTTGATGAATAGAAAGTTCAAAAGAACTGCATTTATTTGAAATAGAAATCTTGTGTAATATTATACATCTTTAATTTCACTTTTGATCAATTTAATACATCCTTAAAGAATAAAAATAATTTATTAAAAGACATAAGAGGAAAAAAATGGTAAAACTACTCTTCTGTGATGCTATTTGGAACATTTTACTGGAGATCAAAGCAGCATATGATGCTTGGGCTGAAAGTGCCTTTAGATTATGAAAGAGAATCTGTTCTTTATTACACACAACATGCAAAAGACATATTTTGCATTTCTTGTCAACAGCACAGATAAATACCATGTGCAGAGGGATTCTCCAAAGTAAAGCATAGCTAATGACCCGCCTGTGTAACACTCACTGGGCAGATATTTAAAGCAGTGCGTGCTGCTCCTCTTCCTCTTCCCATTGGACACGTACAGGCAGACAGACACTGGGTGGTTCAGTGAAAGATCGTTATAGGCTGGCACTCTTACACACAGCAAATTCTGCACCATAAGAAAATACAGACATAATTAGTTCATTTATTTTCAAGTTACACACAGTGTAGTTTTCATAGATACGGTTTATGGTTAATTTACCTCATTGCTTTTATCCCTGTCC